CTTCGGGGTCCCTATAAAAAGGATTATAGTATTGTGGGGTCTATTACTTTGGGTCCCCCTATTTTGAGAAACTATCTTCTGGACTGCCTTGATGGCGCACTTGAGCGTCGGCTCCAAATGAGCGAGGTCAATCTGCACGAAAGGGCGGAAATGTCCCATCATGGTGGCATCCATACATTGGAGGCCCAAATATAGACGACCATATACTATACACCATATTAGAGGGGCTCCCTCTTGTATCCAAATTTCCGGACGCCACCATATGTGGTATGTTCCCAAGGAAGTGTGTCTTTGTTTGGGATAGGACGGTATACATGTGCGGTGTGTTTGGGACTTTAAGTTGGAAACATACCCGTCCATACTGGGGGTATTTTGGTTTGGGGCCTCCTGCCAGGGCGTCACCTCAAGATGGAACTTGATACTGGGGTCAGATCTCAGGAACGGGGGCGAAGTCTTCCCCTCCAGTTGGTATCCTCAAGACTTCAGACATGCAGCCTGATAGGCTATGGGAGGCGTGTGACTGGTATTTTCTCTCCTGCTGTTGCTGCTCGTCAGTAGGCTGCAGGGTACAAATCGGACTCTTTACATGCCAATGGCGCTCAACAACTGCAAAACCCTTAGAGCTTCTACACACGTAGCCACCAGGCAGTGCGAACAAGTGACATGAAGCATTCAAGATTGTTCTCCACTGCATTCGGCAGTTCCAGACTGCTATATGCTCCCCTTCTTAAATTGATTCTTGGCCCCCGTCCTCCACTGGGAGGTTCGCGGGTTCCGCAGCGCCGTGTTCATCGACACGGCCTCCAGGCTCGGAGGGTCATCTTTTTTGTTGACCTGGGCTTTGGTATAGGGATGTAGGCTGTCTATGGTCCATAAAGGTCCATGAGACCTGAGGAAAAATGTGCGAGGCAAGGCGAACCACTGGACCATGTGGTTTGTTTCATGTGGTGTCTGCCACAGGCTCCTGCCTCAACATGGACAGTTCGGATCTCAGTGTGGGCAAGGGCTTCTTACAGGCATAGCGGCTAGGGGTTCTGCTTGATAAGTGCTTGGCTGCTGTCCAGACCCTTCAGCTTAAACTTTACAAGTCTTTATCTTGCATGTCGCTGAAGATTTGGTTTGCGTTTTTGGTAGTATGCGCGTGAGCCTAGTATTGATTATATTCGACATCCACACAGAGGGTAGGGTTCTTTTGGAAAGACGCAATCATGTGACCGCTGCTTTAAGGACCCTTGCCCAATGGCCGTAAATGTGTGAAGCCCTCAAGTCTACACGAACTTCAAACCATGTACACCTTGGTGTGATCCACCCATGTAATCCTCATGCTAGTTTCATTCCATCTCTAGGATTGCTATGTTTCACCAAGCCACAACCACCAAAGCCATGCAGACCCCAAATCCCTGAAGTGAAATCCAGAGCGTGTGGCGCTTTTAATTAAGGACCCGCAGTCTGGCATGGTGGACAAAGGCGCCTTATGTTTGACAACTTGGAGGGCACTCTGTCTACTTGGTTGCTGTTTGGCATTTGTGGCCTCTTAGTGTCACAGGAGGCTAAGGGTTGTGTAGAGCGACTCAGCAATCCAGTCCAGTCCGGGGCCTGTTGAGACAGGGGATTGATATGAGCCAACTTTCAGAATCATGGTGATTTGGAGAGCTTAAAGTTTAGGGTGCTGGGTACGCTATACACAGAGCACTGCGGCATTTCTAGACAAAGCAGCGCTACCTTGCTTGTGGCATACCCCTCACACACTTTTCTGAGAGATAACCTGAGGCTACTCTTGGAATCCTGGCGTTTGAGAAGGAGTACTGCAGGGCCTAGTTAGCTACCGATGTCATGGTCCTTCGTTCCTTCCATAATGTGGTATAAGTAGCATACCTCAAACAGAGCTTTAGAAACATGATATCATTTCATGATGTTTGGCAAGTATTCAAGCCTCCACAGTAATGCAAGTAAAGATGTGTTCCGAGAAAGATGCAGGGAGCTTCACCGACAAAAGAGTCCCTTTTGGCGATGTTCCTATATGAAGGCTGTCAGTTTGTGGGGTGTAGAAGGAGGACCCTGATTTTGTGGACTCCCATATTTGTGATGGATCTGGGAGCCATCCCGCTTCCGGTTCTAAGGTCAGTAGAAATCCCCTCCCTTAATAGCAACAAACCTCCCCAACCCCCTCAACAAAAAGTACTCCCACTGCTAAATGGTAGAATCATATTGGGGAGACAAAAACTACTCGTACTGTTTTATGGTATCATTGTATAGGGGAGATTTATGATTAGGGGGTAGGTCATTTCCACTGCTTGGGGCCCTTCTCTGCTTCTCTCAGACACTGCGTCCAAAGGGCATTTAGAATTCGGAAAAAGTAAGTAAACCGTCCTTTAACAAATGTAGTGTTAAAGAAAATTAGTGACGTCATATCCTGTAAACCGTAAAGCCAGTGGACCATTAACCTGTGATGATAAATAATGCAGGTGGCTTGTTCCCTGAGGTAGTACTTTTACAGAGGTCCGTCAAAGCACATACATCAATCATGTCAAAGGTACCCCTAGATCCTAAATCCAAAATGGTAGTTTCCCAAGATAGGGGGACTTTCCGACAGAGCCCAACACTATAATCCTTATGGTAGGGACTCCCTGAATGGTACCTTGAATTTTGGGAAAAGCCACCTCCGAGCCCACGGACAGGCAATTCTGCTTTGTGCAAACGTTCCTCTGGCGTCCGCCATCTGCCATAGTGGAAGAGAGGAGCGCTGCGATCGCTGCGACTCCTTGGTTCTGTGACTTGCTTTTAATTACTTCTGAGGATTATATCTGAGGTCATACCGGGTTACTTTGGGCTTCTACGGTTGCACAGGGTCTTGGGATCAGGGATATTCCCCAATAATGACGGATCAAAAGGAACATAAATAGAAACTGGGGTTTACATAGGGCTTGTACTCCTTATTGCTGGCTAGCAAGCAATGAAGGCTGAGTAAGACAATAGAAGCTATTACCACAATGCAGGTTACATGGAGGCTACTATGGAAAAGTAAATGGAACCTACGTACTATAACAATACTGTATCATTAGGGACTAGGGACTCTAGGGATACGTGGGGTGATAAGAATCTCATGAGATCTGCATGAGGATTATTAACCAGTGATCAGTTTGGGAGTCTTAAGTGCCCTAGGGGTTGTAGGATTTCCCGGCAGTCAACGCAGAGCTTCAGAAGCACTGGCAAAAGTTCAGCTCAAGTGAGGGCTTCATGAAAGTTTCCAAAGGCTTTTATATTCCCCCCCTCCCCTATCTATGAGTCTTCGGGGGGCGGGTTAACTTGGTTCCCAACTATTTACAATAGGTCCCGGGGCCTATTTCGGGAGGGTGGGTTCAGGTTCAAATGATGGGTCCCGCGCTACATGTTTAATGGGTCCCACAATATTATCGGGGTCGGATACGTCAAAATGAAATCTAAGGCCTTGCGCCTGAAATCTAATTTTCGCAAGTTCCTTTTCAAAGATTTTGTGATAAGGGTTGCGCCCTAGTGTTTACAGGCGCTAGGCTAGGTGACAGCGCGCCCTAGCGGTTACAGGCGCTTAGGCTGGGTTATACTCGTTGCGCCCTAGTGGTTGCAGGCGCTTAGGCTAGGTGATTAGGGGTTGCATCCTAGTGGTTACATGAGAATGAGCTCCCGAACAATAGGCCCCCAGACCTATTTCTGACCGCACCCGTGCTGGGGGGATTACCCCACACCTAGAAAAAGAGGGTGATTTTTTAGAAAGATGGCCCCACACTTTGGGATTTCCTATAGAATCCAGCTTTCACCTTTTCGCGGTCAATGTTTGTAGAAGTCTTTGACTTACACTTGTTCTGCATTCGATATATCTTGTTCCATTTGGCATCCTCTAAAAGGATCCACCCTTTCAAGTCTTGTGCAAAAGGGCCATTCTTGAAGTTCTGGGGCGTTTTGGAGGGCACCGGATTTTTTGGGGGACACGGCAACTGATCCTAAAAGACCTGCAAACGTCGCAAGAAGCGGAGGTGCACGGCCATTTTCGTGGCGCGGGTTCTGCTTCAGATGACGTGGCCTCTAGCTTCCTGAATAGGTTTAGGGGTTTAGGGGCTTAGGGATTCAGGGTTTAGGGGTTTAGGGTTTAGGGTAGAAGGTGTTTTGTGGATTCCCAAACCCCCTATAACCCTACCTGAAGGTCCTAGTAGAGTAGAATGAATGTCACATTCGTCCTACATTCCTAAAACAGTGGTTTTCATTTTCCTTTCCCTTTGCTCCAATTTCTACTAACCCTTTTCTACATAGTCTATAGTAGCTCCCTTTTTCTTTCGTATTACCCGTATACATTATTGCAGTCATATCCCTAAACGGTAAACCCTAACCCCTAACCCCTAACCTCTACACCCTAAACCCATAAACCCAAAATCCTAAATCCATAAACCCTAAATTCCTAAATCAGTGTATCATACCTTTAAACAGGATCTCCAGGTGCCGGCTTGAAGTCGATGTTTTTTCCTTGAAGCGAGCCAGCCTAGGTTTTGGTCGCGTGGGATTCCCTGGAAGGAGTCATCCGGGGAAAGGGCTCTGTAGGATGCTAGAATTTTAGTTCAAGTACCGCAAAAACCTATCAAAAAAGTTTCAAAGTGCAATTTTGCGCAAACAACTCGGAACTGTAAACCCTTCAGAAGGCGGTTATTGCAAATGACAGATCCAAACCTTGAAGCCTGAATGTTAGAACGACATGTTTTGCACCCGAAGCCTAGAAGCCAAGAGCTGAATCTTACAGCTGCCTTAACTTAAACTAACGAGGGGAAGTGGGTTCCCCCAACTGCGGGTTTCTTCTTTTGTAGAGGTTCGGGTCGCCAAATTCACCCATATCAGGACTCTTTATAAGCCTCTGCATGCACGCAGTTTCCCTGTCATGTTCCATTTTCTTTCCATGTCATCCTTCAGTAGCATAAGCCCTTCCACAGGAGGTGGTGTTTGAGGCAGGGGGTGTGATCCCTGTCTCGGTGGCGTCGATGGCTTGGGGTACGGCTCAAACCCGAGCCACCGGGACCCAACGACCTGTTTTTTTTTAGGGTGTATGATTGAAACTAAAGTTAGGGGTTAATCCACACGGGGCTTTGGGGATAGGGATTTAAGGTGAAGCTTTACTGACTTTGGGAGTATTTGGTTTCTCAGCTTCAAAGGACTAAATGATTAGATGCTTTTTTCTGCAGCATGGTTCTTGGGTGACACGAGCTGTGTGAGAAAAGCCGCTTAGGATGATTCACGATCCTACACATCGCATATTACGTATACTATATGTGCATACCAGACTTGTTCAGGTGTTCAGGTGAACCTCAAGCATAATCCAGAGGTGGGGAAGCTGAAATGCCCTGGGCCCATGGTAGGGAAGGCGCAGGACTGAGAGAGCTTCAGAGATTGAAGGCTCCATCTGAGAGCTTGGCCAGAAACACTTCTACTCAGATGATTGATATGGGAGGTGTTCAAAGCTACTTGTCGGCACCCTTAAGGGAGGCTCCCAAGAGTCCAGGGCTGCAGTGTAACAGAGCCGAACTGAACTTCAAGAAAGAGCAATCCTCTACTCCAAAGCCCTGTGAGCTGTTGTAGAATCAGGAGTCCTTGGACTCTACCTGGGCCATAAACATCCTTTTTTGAGGTTTTGTCTTACCTTTCTTATGGATTACGGGACATCCAGCATCCATGTTGGAATTAGGGAAGCCGTAGGGCTTCTGTAGGGATGGATGGTAGACCTTTCCAGGTTTGATCATCTATGGCCAGGTTTATCTCGGTTTTCCGCTCTGGAACATATTGCTAGGTGGGGGTGGGGAGCCTGCTTTGAGGACATATCTGTTGTTCGAGAAGTGCGCTTCTTGTGTCTGAAATTTGGGACATGCCTGCAAGGAGCATGTGTTAGGTGATCCCCTCACCCACTGGTAAAGAACACCGGGAATACTCAGAACTACATTTGGGTCGCTGTATATTCCCAGTATACCGCCATTTTTAGGGCCAGAAACTGCCTAAAGTGTCCATTTCACTGCCAAGGCCTCCTCCAAAGGACTAGCTGGCCTGCTTGTCTTCCTCTTTGGGACCTGGCTGAATGTCTCTTGGGGGATCAGAGGAACTCTTTGGCTTTTGAACTCTTATGACGGCCGGTATTTTTTTGACCGACCGTATTAGCGGAAGCCAAGTCTGGTGTAACACTTTTGGTCTATCATCCCTATGCCGGAAGCTACTGAAATGGACATCCCACAGCCTGTAAACAAGATCTTCTTAACAAGATCTTCTTTGGATGTCAAGCATATGGTTCCCACAAACTTCTATCAGTTCACACCGTCGGCCCTTAGAGCACCGTTGAAACCTTTGAAATAGAACTAGTGCAGGTGTACCCTGAATGGCAGCGCCACGTCTGGAAGCGGGAAGCCTGCCATCAAGGGCGACTTTACATGGGTGGGCTGCTTCTCGGTCTTTCCTTTAAATTTTGCTTCGTATGATTTTGGATAGCACGTCACCGGCCTCTTCATCCCCTTTGCAGTATGATCTTTACGCATTTTTTTGGGCTTGCTTCGCGATGGCCGCGCAGCTTTGCGTTTTGGTGGTTTAGGTTTCAGGTTTGGGAAGTGTTGTACTTGTTAGACACCAGTGCTTCTTGCGGGGCTCTGTATAACGGCCGGCAGGCTACTTGGTGGGACATGCAGGCATTGACGTTGCCACAAGACATTTTGTTTCGTCTACATCAAGCCTGAAGAAAGTATGTATCCAGACATGGAACCTGCCATGAAGATATTTCTGATATCTTCACAAAGTCACGAAGGACATCTTTACAATTTCAAGAAGAAGCTGTCTAGACAAGTTGTTGGGTTCGTGTTTGTACAGGTTCTCCCTGGCGCGACACATCAATTACACCGGAGAGATCTTATCTTTTGTGGGCTTCTCGCTGGTGACGGGTGCTTTGTGGACAATGTGGGTGCCTGCTGTCATGGGGCTCGGAATGTGCACCTTGAGCATTAGGGAGATCGAGTTCTACCTCAGCCAAAGGTACAAGGACGGTGCATGTCAAACCCGGCAGGGGGCAAGCAGCCTTGAAATTTCCAGAAGCGGACGTCCTAGCCCAAAATAGTACAAAATAGTCATGCTGTATACGCCTTAATTATCAGAACAATCAGGAAGAGGGACCAGAAAGTCCTATAGTCAGACATGTCCAGGAGGATTGGGCCGTTTACATCCAGCAGGTCCCATGGCTTATGATCCCTGGCCTTTTCTAGCCCCATGCCTGCACATTGTTGTTTTTGGGGGAAACTTGTTCACGGTCGGGCTTCTTTTGCAAGGGTTCATGGGCGGTTTGAAGATAGGCAAGTTTCTATAGTAGCCAGGTTGCGAACCGGCATGTTGAGCAACTTCCTTGTTGGCTACGATGCATGGTCCCCGTGACGTCCGGTGCAAGTGAAGAACGGCAACTCCCAAGCTCATCGTTACTCTGCTGCAGGTTGAGTAGAATCTTGGTGAAATCACATGTTAGTTAGTTTCTATGCGGTGTCCTCTGTGTAGCACCCTTAGCTCAATCCTGCATCATACAACATCAGCCTGAGGACTTTTGACAAAACTGTGGTTGCGGCCTTGCTTGTGCTGCCCGCCTGGCTGAGCGAATCCGGTCCAACGTGCTGGAAGCTGCTCGAAGCGCAGCGCGGTAGGGCCATACAGCTGAAGTGGGAACGTATCCAGATTGTTGTCCTCCCCTTGGTGTCCTTCTCTTAGCTGCGGAACTGAAACCGTGTGGAGCTGCAAAGCCAAAGTGGACGATGACTCCGGGACCCGAAGCCTGGAGGAGAGAAAACAAAATGTCCACAAGTAGTGCGCGATTTCTGTATTTCAGACAAGGAGGACTGACTGGAATTTCTGACCAGCTTTCAGCCTGCACTCGCGCATCTCATCAGCCTTGTATAGTCTTCAGGACTGGCCATTTGTGCAACAATTCTCAGCGTTGGCTTTGCACAAGGTGTCAGAGAGCGAGAGAGAGAGAGCAACCGAGCAAGCGAAAGCCGTAAACGCTTGAATCCTTTGCACGGTATTATGTGTGTCAGAGCCCAACCTCATGCGAGAATACTGGAGCTGAAGCCCAAAATCTTATAGCCCAAGCAGCAAATTCTTAGCAAGCTGCGGCATGGCAGGTGGTGGCGTGCGAGGAGGTGTCGGAGTATCGCGCAGCTGTCATGTCGCTCCGGGCAATGTTTCCAGTCCCTTGAAGTGAAGGGATTGCGGTCCTTCAGTCCCTACGATGTGGTTTTCTATCGTCTTATGCAGATACCAGGAACCTGCTAGACGGGTAACAGGGCTTCGCGGCAATGTTTGGATTCGGAGGCTTGGAGGCATGTAGAAGCCTCAACAAGCAGTATACCGCTTTCGCCGACATTCAGCCATTTCAGTCACGTACTACGGGAGTATGCGCATATGCGGGCAGTTGGGTCATTGGGCTTTCTCAGACTTCCCAAGCATAACTTCTGGAGTCTCTGGAGGAGCTGAAGAAGAACAGCAGCTTGGAGATTCTACCCTTTTCTTCTTGCTTAAGGTGGCACATTGGCCGATTTCGAGTCCCTAGGGACGCTGCGTTTGATAAAGGCAATTCTGATCTTTGAGCCTTCTCCCGCAAAACTAGGCTGTCGAACTTGAGAATCTTCAGACACGACAGGTCTCTGGTGAACACGGAAGACGTGGTCTTGGAGGCCTCCAGCCCGTACCAGGGTGAGTCGTTTAGGGTGCGAGGGTTTCAAGTTAGCGCTCTGAAGGCACTTGGCAAAGCGTCCATCCAAGTATTGGAGCCTGTTGACTGCATTTTTATCGCCAAACGCCCCAACTTCCTGAACGCGAAAGCTGTCAGAGCAGGTGTTTGGAGCGTTTGGGCAATGAGACCAGCTTCACCTGGAAACTTTGCAACACGTACACAAGACTGAAGCTCATTTCCGGCCCTTACATCGTAGTAGTATATGTGCGCACTGACCGTCTCAAGTTTGAAAGTTTGACATGTAGACTCGGTTTTGCGACTAGGGTGTGTACATGCAGCCAAGATGGCTGTGCAAGGCCCCACTAAGAAATGACCTTTTAATCTCTCAAGCACCTTCTCATGCTGCACTGCATTATCTTTGTCCACCCATGCTTCTCCACAATTCTATGAATGCGCGCACAACCCCAGCTGTAATGCTGGAGCCGCGCATGAAACCATATCGGCAACGAATTGCAAGTTTTTCCAAAGTCAGAGATCCGAAGTTCTCAAGCCCGAGCCCCTTGCTTGCACTAAGAGCGAATGCTGAACCCTCAATCCTTATTCAAATTCATTCTCTAGCTTTTGCACGGTGTTCATGTCTCAGATTGGTTCGCATGTTGGTGGCACGACAAAGGCCGCGGCTGCATTCGGACTGCTCTGCAGGTTGAGTGAAGTAGCTTTAGGTTTGAGAGTGTTGTTGGATGTTTGGTGCCAAAGGCTGAGGGTTGTCAGCTTGGGTTGGAGAGTAAACAAAAAGATCCTTCTTGATTACTAGGTTGAAGCAGGAGTCCCAGAGAAAAAAAAACGCTCAACTACTTCCAGATGACTATGCGGCCAGGGGCCTCAGGTTTACTGGGTCGAGGGGTCCAGTCGTCCTGCATTTCGGGGTGAGGGTTTTTTGGGGCGGAGGGAATATAGCTTCAGGAATTATATTCAGGATTGCCTTGGGGCCATTAGGGTGTAGGCTTCACTTATATCACATGTGTTGGTCAATACTTCGGGCATTCAGGTGATAGAGCCTTTGCAGGTTAAGGACCATGCATGGCTTGAGTGATCATCACCAGTGTTGATGAAGATCTTGTTTCTTTACGGAAGCTGTGAGCCTCGTATGATCCCCGCTCCAACCTCATCTAGTTCTCAAAGGGGGTCTTGTCAGGGACCCCACTGATGGGATTGCCATTTCTGCCCACCGATTTATCCTGTCTAAGCAGAGCAGAGATTGCATGGGAAGGTGATTGCTTCGGTGGCTGGTCGGGTGGTCGGTGTGGACCAGCAGCCAGAACTAGTGGCGCAGGCAGCCTGCCAAGGGTCAAATGTTCCAAGCTTGCGGGGCAGACGGCTCAGGACTAGGGTGGACTGTAAATTTCGAGAAAAATTGGGAGTCCGGTCTTGGGGTTCGCAGGCTTGATTATGGTCGTTCTCTCCTATGATCCTTGTACCCAGACATGCAGCCTCGTTTTTGTATTGGAGGTGCAGTCGCAGATTCTGGAGTACCTATAGGCATCTGGCAACTCATCTGTCAAGCCTCCTCAGCAGTGTCAGTGTTGCAGAATGGTTCTCTATCCACTTTAGTTAGCAGCAGACGCACCCCTACTGTTATGACACCAAACGCAGCTCTCCAACAATTTGGCAGAACAATAGTCACAACAGTGGGAGTGGGCAGGACCCTTGATGCTGAAGAGACCACACGCATGAGCAGCTTGATTAGGGGCACTGCTCAACAAATCCCATACAGATGTTGGCAGTCATAGTGCTGTGCAGAACAACAAGCATTTTCAATGTGCGTGGTTCAAGAACCAGCATCACACCCAGACCTCAAGCCAAGTAAGCCCGAAAGCCTTCGAATGCATCCTCACCGCCCCTGAAATTCCAAACCCAAAGCGGGAGTAACTAAGGGCCCCAAGCCTACAGCCCCAAACTTCAAGACCTTAACTGAGCCATATAGTCTAAACTCCTTATAGACTTATAAAGGGGTTATGTAGGGGATTATATATGGGGCCATTATAGGGTCATTAAGAGGGATACTAGGAGTTCAGACTATAGTACAACTGTGAATTCACTGAATCCTGGGACTTTGAGCTTTGTGCCCTCATCCTACACAGCCTCGTAAGCCCGAGCCCCACTCCAAGCTGTTGAGCTACTTGGTATAGGGGGACCTTCAACATAGACCCCAAAACACGATAATCCTGTTCCTGATTATAAGAACCAAAAAATGAACCCTAGTTTTTTGCAAACCCCCGCCTTCCCGCGGTAGCTCTTTCGCCAGGCCCGCAAGAATCATCCTGAGATCCAGTTCGAGGACCATACCATGAGATCCTTTGGGGTGCTGCTTCATCCCGGTGATAGATAGAGTCATTTTGCTAAGTGGAGATTCGATCTCTGATTCTGCAGGTTTTCCTTTGGACTGTTTTATGATTAAACATGATCTCGTAGTATTTCTTTGAGCAACCTTGAACAAGCAGAAAAGCAATGTCCATCTAGTAAATGAAAAAAATCCTAATCCTAGGCGGAATTCTCCTGTATCCGTTCATGCCAATTCTTGTGTAAATGTTATCACAAGAGTACAACGTCAAGGCAAAATCATTATACAGGTACATTTCCCTGAGGTTCTTGAACATGTATGTTGTTTTAGACAAGCCTTACAGACACAAACACTGAAGATACTATGAAACGAAGGAGATCCCTAGTCCCTTATGATGATTCCTCACAAAGACGACCGACAAATCCCTTGCAATCCCTCCCGCCCCAATTCGTTGTTACTATCCCGCTGGCTGGCTCCTTTAAAACGTCTTCCAGGAATTAGGCCTGCAGACTCGTTTTTGATTGTTGTTTTCATGTGTTGTATTGAAAAGGAGCACGGATCAGAGTATCATGTAGTCCCTCACATGAAGGTTATTCAAAGGATTTGGGGGATGACAACCTTAACTGGGCGACCTTGCGCTAACATCAGTCCTAGTAAGGCCTGTTTCAAGTTATTTGCTAGGTGTCCATAGTATAAGTTTGAGCTCTAACATTTGAGAACCAGACCTGCTCAGCCCGTTTTGCCGGGCTTTTATCTGTAATCCATTGTCAACCCGCGTTGGATGCCTTTCAGCATTTCTCAGTCATTGGCATCAGGAGGTTGATGTTCCCTATAGGTATCAGCCAGTCGAACTTTCTGAGCTTCGGAAGAGGAGGATATCTTTTTTGCGGAGTTCCCCACATAGCCCCCTTTTTGCAAGGCCAGTCATCTTTACTGGGCGGAGCTGGGGCATAGAAGGGGCCTTGACCCCCCCTAGACCTATTGACTCAGACCCTGAGCCTAAAACCTTCAACGTGCCACCTAAAGCCCCAACACCTACACCTAACACCCTACACCCTTAACCAACAATTCCTAAACACTAAACCCGAAGGCCAATCCTAAACCCAAAGCCTTGAGCCCCAAAGCTGCAAGCCTAATCCTACAGCCATATACACCTTAAACATAAAGTACTAAACCCAAGCCCCTGAATCCGCAAAGCCCAAAAC